ATGAGTCCTTCGAGACCGGAAAGTTCGTTTTAGCGCGAACATGAACCGCAGGACATCATAATTTTTAATGTTTTTAATGATTTGGTATTTGGTTTTCGCATTCTAAAACATGAAGTACGACTTAGTGCCAGCAAATATTGGATCTTCCGCCCATATCGAAGGAGAGAGAGTGGTTGTGCCATCCAATATAGGAAATTGGGCCGGCATTGTTTCAATGCAACTTTCAATTCTTTTTTCTTTCGCACAGCTAGATGGCTCCGATTGCTGCCCCACAACTTGCTCTTGTGTGAAAACTCGCACCAGTTTCGATTGCAGCTGCGCAAGATCGACATTTTGGAGGTTTTGAAAATCCACGATTCCTGCTAGTGGTAACATCTATAATACTTTGCATATGTAAAAAACTTGAACAGATTCACAGTATTCTTTTACGGTTTGACTTTGCTTCAGATATTTCTATGGCATTCGATTGGTTGCTCAGTTATGGATAATCGCTACCTCATCCTGGAGTTGTGGACTCGTACCGATTGTTGTGCTTGTGGGATCGGGTTGTGCGCATCTGATTCGGAACAACTGTGGACCTTTGTTGACCTCCAAGTCATTGGATCTCTCCGCCACATTGTCTGCAATCGCTGCCAGTAGCCTGCGTCGCCCACGTCAAAGTTACCTTTCATCCATACTACATATTATCAAGTTGCCACTACTTCTGAGTTTTTGCTATGCCACCTGTTTGTCTTCAAGCACCTGGTAAAGCCACCGAGGACAAGAACTAGGCATCTCTGCTATATATCACTCATCTTCATTAAAGTTACAATTTTACGATATTCCGCAGCATATCTTGCTTGTCAGGCGGTTTCCCTCCTAGGTTGCCCTTGCTCCAGTACAGATCTATCTTCTCTGTACTTCGATGCTTCTTATTCATGGTTCCTCCGCTACATAATCGAAGAACGATGTCCCACCATCAAGCACGAGAGGAGGGGTGTGGAAAACTGCTACCCTGTTTCGATTGCATCTGCGCAAGATCGACATTTTGGTGGTTTTGAAATCCACGATTCCTGCTAGTGGTAACATCTATAATCTCTTGGGGCACTATTTACCCTTTACTGCCCCACTCCCCGAGAACTGAGCCGGGTTTTTATCGAAATTGGTCAATGACTGTGGATTTGGCTAGAAACTTGCCTTAAGGGGTAATTTGACCCGTAGAACACGAATATCATATCGGTTTAGCGCGAAAACGCTTGGCGC